CCAAGGAGTCTCCCATATATTATCATAGATTCACAACTCACACCATCTAGATTTCTTAGGGAAAGCCGTCCAGCATTCTAATTTAGCAAATATTGCAAGCAAAAAAGAGAAGAAGCCTTAAAAACATACCTTACAAAAGGAGAACGCCGGTGGTGGTTTAGATGGGAGCAGTGCTGCTGGCTGCAAGAGTTCTTAGGGCTGAAAACGACGAACCTCGAGCATAGTCCCTATTAGCGTGTGAGATGAGAAGAAAAGCGGGACGGGATAGCTGTCAGCTGGAAAGTTTTGGGGAAAAGTGGAATATTTAATGTATTAGGGATGAAAAAAGTAAATAATTTATTTAGTTTATGCTGTAAATAATGAATAAATAAATGATATTAATACTATAATATATTACCAAATTAATTACTGTGCCTGTTGACTTAAAGGGGCTGTGGGGGCAAGTGCCCCTAGTGCCCCCACACTACATCCGCCCCTGGGTATATATTTAGCTTTATATAATTTTTTTATTCACATTTATTAACTAATTACTTAACAATCAAAATTTTTTGTTATAGGCTATCAAGGATAGATTACTATTATGAAGAATTAACAGACTACATAAAGATGACACCTGATCATCTGAAGATGCTAAACAGAGATGGGTAAGTTCACTCTAGCTATAATTTTTTATACTTAATTTGTTACTATTTTTTGTTTCTTTAAAACAAAAGTTAACTAAATTTATTATAACATAGATACAAGCTTGCGAGCTTTTGGCTGAGGATGGGCTAACACCAGAGGATGGTAATGTGGAGGCTAACGAAAGAGTGTTCAGTATTGTTATGGGGACTAAACACCCAGGCAGAGTCAGAACCCAAGGGTTTGGTGTCACTCCTACACGATATTTTCCACATAGCACGAACGAGGGTAGGAGTAGCGGTGGAAGCAAATTAAGTGAAATTGTAAATCTAAGAGAGGAGGTAAATCATTACATACTGAAATGAGGGAATTCATGCAACAATGTTGAATGCAGCACCCACCTCAAGGAAGCTCACAAATGGCATGTAAAATTTCACATTTTAATTTTAATTTTAATTTTTGTTATTTGAATACTAATAGTTTTCAATCTTCTTATAATTGATAGGGCGGCAATGAAATCTCTTCTGAAAGATGATATTATGGGAGATAGAGAATGGCATTTTGAAGAAAAACTATGTTTGTGATAAATGGGTTTAAAATGAATCTTGGTATGAAAGTATACTTTTTTTGGATGTTACTTAAAGTTTTGATATTATAGATTACTAAATATGAATGATGAATGCTCTTCTCTTTTTGACATATCGATGACTTAAAACTTCAAATATAATACTTTGGATGAATTCTTGTGCTTTTTTGCTTGTAGTGAGTTTATTTTTATTTGTTTCAATGAGTATGTAGAAATATTCGATGAATGGTGTGTGATATTCATCATGAATCATGTGGTCGTATGATTTTTGTCGTTCTTTATTCATTTCAGCAAGTATTTTCTTTTTATATGGAGTGGAATTAAGCCCACAAGTTTTGATATTGTGTTAAGCTGTTCCCAAACTATTCTTGGAATGAAGCCCGCAACTTTTGTTTTAGAGAGGGAAAGTTCTCTTCTATGGAGCACACACTAGTGATGAATTTTTGATGCAATTCATAAATTGTTGCTACTATAGATTGATTAATGCTTAACTACTCTTGAGTTGTCCCTAGTTAGTGATGGGTTGTATTTCTCTTACCAACTAAAATAATATAACATATTCTCATTTCTATGTCTTCGATGGTTGTAATACTATCCATTTGTCTTTACAAATTACATTTAAAAAAAAAAAATCTGGAAGCTTGTGGAGGTTTTAACCGCCACAGCTTTCCAGATTTGTAGCGGTTTAATCCGCTACAATGATACGAATATATTTTATTAAAGCTAATTGTTGCGATTATGTCCACTGTAATTCTATATACTTGTAACAAATTAAACCGCTGTTATAAGTTGTGTCTACCCCAGCGCTTTTAAAACCGCTGCAGAATGTCTTTGCAGCACATTACAGTCACAGCGGTCGAGCAGCGGTTTAGAAACCACTGCAAGAAAATTTGTGGCGGTTAAAACCGTCAGGAAATGTCTAATTTTGTGCTGCTGTAGCCCTTTTTTCTAGTAGTGTAAAACGATGATTTTTTTTTATTATTTTGAATAAAAAAATAAAACTCAAGATATCATCATAAAAGTGCAATAATTATTTAATATCATATACAATCACTGCATTATGATTACAAATATATATGTATATATATGGAAAAAAATTAGGTAAGAGCTTATGATTCAAAATTTTACCTTAGAGTGTAAGATAAATCATTATTTTTTTAATATAAAATATTTTTAGCATAATTTTATAGTAGAATAAATTTATTATATATATATTTGTAGTTTTTGTTGGTTGTTGTTTGGGTCATTAGCTCAAATGTATTTTCAAAAAAATGAAGCAATAAGACAAACTAATATATATATATATATATATATATTAATGGTATATTGTTTGAAAACCACAAAAATAGTGTTGCATTTGATATGAACTCTTGGATCTTGGTAGGAAGATGAAGTTCTTCTTGAACTTCTTTGATGAGAGAGAGAGAGAGAGGAAAGAAGAAATCAAAACTAATCTTATTGCTTGGCTTAAAAAAAAAAAACCAACTCTACCTCAATAATGGTTAATGTATGCTTACTATATAGTAATATATTCACTATATTCTTATATGATTTTGGCAAAGAGCTTATGAGAATAATTCTTTGATCTTCCTAGCTCCTCATTCTTGACATCTACATTCTTAAAATCAAGAATAATTTAGTTAAATTCATCTATGTGCTTTTTCAAGTCTTTGCTTTTATTTTTTGGTTGAGAGCTTATGCTACCAACTAAAAGGTCGTGGGTTTAAGTCTTGCGTATGCGATGTGTGTGTGAGTCTGCCTTAGTTGGCTTAAATGTCCCAAAAAAAGTCTTTGCTTTCATTTATCTGCAATATGTATAGAGCTTTCTTTAGATACAATCGGTTGGTCAATGATTCTTCAAGTACAATGATTCTAATTTCTCCCATACTTCTATAACAAAGCCCTATTCAGCTACTTCCCTCAACACTTCATCACCGAGCAATAAAAGAATTGCACTATGAGCCTTCAGTTGGGTTTGTCTAGCCCTTGCCGTGTCTGTTACGATAATAAGGTATTTCTTGAAAATCGCCTCAGAAGTTTCATGATGAATAAGGAGAGCCTTCATTTTGATTCTCCATAAGCCGAAATCATGTTCACTGGTAAATTTGTCAATTTTGAATCTTTGCATCAACATGATCTTGAACCATAGTAAGAATTCCATATGCTGCCCGAATTCGACTGTAAGAATAGCTCCCAAGATGCCTCGCGCGCGTCGCCCTATGCTGCACCAACTGTTCCGAGCTTCCAATCGCATAACCAAACCGCGCCTACTACTCCCACTAGCGGTCGAGACCAACTTCACATTCGTGTGCATCCTCCCATTTCATTTAGAATCCCGAGCTGCACAACTAGCCCAGTCAACAATCTATGTTGTCGTCCTTATTCCTGTACAAGCAGCCCATGCCGATTAACCCTTATGATTCCCCAACCTGCTTCGCGTGACCACTATGGATCTATTGAAACTCTCGATCCTTTCCATGCGCGACCACCCAGCACGCGCTAATCCTTTGTATAATCGCACCAACGTGCCTTTGCCCGACCAACTCTCATTTCCCCATGCAAGCCCAACACATGCGCCTGATCTGCGTGATCTCCTCGCTCACGCTCTTGCCTTCCTTGCACACCACTCGCGTATACAGGCCATGGCCACCGTGCAATTTGACTCAATCTCCTTCCAGCATGTCCCGTGCATCCGTTCTCCTCTTTCTTTAATGCAAGAACTTCCTCTACCTCTACCTAGCTCTGATACAACTTGTTGGATCTTGGGAGGAAGATGAAGTTCCTCATGAATTTCTTTGATGTGAGAGAGAGAGAGTGAATTAATTATTTGGAAGATTCAGTTCCGAACCAAATTCCAAAGCTAGATCTTGGTTAGTGCAGCTCCGTCGCGATCCAGCACGGGCGGGATCCGTCTCGTCTCGGGTCGGGTCGTGACAATTATGACCTCTAAATATATAAAGACTTTATTGGATAAATTGCACTTAGGAATACTACAAACCTAAAGCTAGATCAATCACAATGTGAACTAATTTAAATCACATAAAAATCTCATGCTGCGATGCCTTCATCGAAACCTTTGGAACTTTGTCGCACACCTATTGCCTTTAAATGACTTCCTGCACGAGCTCCATTGTACGCCACTGTTCCCATGATACTTTGTATGTGCACTCCTTTACACATTGTAAGTGAAGAGACTCACTCAATGTATGAAAGATACGAGGTGAATGAGCCCGCCAACCCTTCCTCACCATCTCTATTGAAGATGATAATGTTAACTAGTTTGTCGATCTTTCCAAGGCAACAATATCTAGAGCATCTGAATTCTTGCCCTTCTCCTCCAAATACTTTAAACCCTAAAAAATAAAGAAACAAGGAAGTTCTCTTAGGAGCGAGCTCACTCACAAAGCATCAACTACAACAATAGCTTGTGATAGATCACCACTATTGTACGATGCGACTTACGGATGAAGGCATCATAACACCATCTGTCTATGATGGTGCTTGATAGCATTTGAGAAAAGCATTAGAACTTGCGATAAATACATCGAGAATGTATTTGAACAAAGCTCAAATCTGAACTCAAATCATATATGAACAAAAACTTCAATATAAGAGTAAGTAATATAAATATATAATATAGAGTAATTTAATTGAAAAGAAAGTTTTAAATATATTTTTTTTCTAGTAAAATTAATTGTATAACTTTTTTTTTTCCAATCAAGGTAAAAAATTCCAATTATAAGAGATACAAAATAAAATTTACCAATAGCATTATTGTTTTCAAAGCCATCTTGTAAGCAAAATCATCATCTTCGTCACCCCATCATTCTTCTCAGCACGGTCGGTGGCACATGCGCAGCCTTCTCTCAACGTTTGGAACCGCCGGGGCTCCCTTGTAATTACTCTACAAATCCGCGGGTTTTCTTCCAAGATATAACCGCCTTCCTTGCAGGTCTCTAGCTCCTGTTTTATTTATGTTCTTCGTGTGAGGCGTCGTGGCTTTCTTATAAATTCTATGCCGCTTCGCTGACGAACCCCTCGTCCGATGCCAATATCGAGCGAGAGAGAAACCCTAGCGCCGGATTTGCGGTCGTCGTTTCGCCGGAGACTGGTCTCCAGCGCAGCGGCAGCGGCGGCCGCAGTGGCGCCGGACGCGTCTGTGGAAATGACTCTTGTAAGCGCTGAGAACTCTATGACGGAATCCACGTGCGTGGATACGAGTTCCGATGCGGACTCGAAGTGTATGATTGGGAACAGAGAAGAGGAGAGGAAGGGCGAGACGGCGATGAGCGGCGGCGGGGAGCGTGGAGATGGGACGGGGACCGTAGAAGGGGAATTGCCGGCGAAGTTTGTGTTTCGGGCTTCGGCTCCGGCGCACAGGAGAGTTAAAGAGAGCCCGCTGAGTTCTGATGCCATATTTTCTCAGGTGGGTATTATGCACGAGTTACTTGAGCTTGTTCGATTTGTTTTGGTGTCCTTTGGTATTGAATCTGCTCGTTCGTTTTTACGTTTTTTGGTCCTGTTTCTTTAGTTGTGCGTATGAAGTAGAAGCATCAGCAACTTACCTTCCACCCAGAGTTAAATATTTTTACGGATTAATTTTAAGTTTGGTATTGTATTGATATTTGTCAGGATTTTGTCTTCTTTCTCTAGTTTTTTACTTGATTGTACAAAGGGTCGCGCTGGGTGTTGCTTCGGATCAGTATCCGCACAGGGTGTGTGTGTGCGTGTGAAGTGGAACCTTTTTAATCTAATTGAATGGTTTCTTGCCAGAGTCATGCAGGTCTATTCAACCTCTGTATAGTGGTTCTTGTTGCGGTAAACAGCAGGCTAATTATTGAGAACTTAATGAAGGTTAGCTATCTTCTTCATTCTTGATTGGAATTTGCATATTTCCATCATCTATACTTTGTCTTATCGTCTTTCTTTAGAAACACACATTTCAAGTTTGAATTTATTTGGGGAGTGTAGCATTAGCATGCATTGTTTTGGCTATCGTGACCTTTCAATGCTGTGGATTTGCAGTATGGTCTACTGATAAGAGCAGGATTTTGGTTTAGTTCCAGGTCATTGAAAGATTGGCCACTTCTTATGTGTTGGTAAATTTCATGCAGCACATAAACTGTTCATTTTAAGATTTATCTGTTATTTTTCTGTAACAAGCGCTACAAATTTTTTGTCAAGGTGCCGTTCTTTAATTGTGTTCTCTCAATTTGCAGCCTCACTCTACACTGTTTTCCTCTCGCTGCCTTTGTGGTTGAAAAGCTGGCTTGGAACGAACTTGTATCCGGACCAGTAAGTAGTTATGTGAATGACATTATATTGCATTTTTTATTTGTACAATGGAAGATCAAGATTGAGGTATTTGTTTTTTGAATTTGTATCACCTGCTAACCTTGAAATATATCATTGTAAGCACTCTGCAGCTAGTTTTTATATGCTTTTGGCAGTATCTTCTCTTATTAAAGGCTGTTTGATTTTCTCCAAAATAGATGTGAAATAGAAGCAAGGCAGTTAAAATATCTATTTGAGTGTTAGTTGATGTGAAATAGTTGCATCAACATTAAATTGCCTCATATTAGTTTTCTAAACCATTTCTTTCACAAAATTGTTGCAAATTTAGTGCAACCAAATTCCACTTTGGCACATTTGCTGCGCAAGTATTTGAATTATGTTGTGCCTATTTTATTTGGAACCACATAAAATCTAAAAGTGGTATGTTTGCTTTTTAAGCATAAAATTGGTGTGGTAGTTATTAAGTGAAGTATAATGGGCACTTTAAATTCAAATGATTTATTTCTTAAGTGTTTCGATTTAAGCAGAAAGAGAACAAGATAAAAAAGAACACAATATCAAATAAAAGTTCATTGATGTTGATCTATGATGTAAGTAAGACTTGATTTGTTTGATCACTTCTTGTGAATATTTGATCATCGACCAAGTTGATATAAAGTATATAACTTGTAATGTCTCTTGCTAAAAGCACCTACAAATTTTTTTTTGAGATCAATGCCATCATCGTTGTCCTAGATGCTATTTAATATGTAAACATTAAATTTGATTTTGTTTGAGTACTCCTATACCATAAAATTAATTACTCGTATGGTGCTTTACTAAATCAACTTAAAAGTTTATAAAAATTGGGAGTTGACTACTTTTTATAATGTATATTATGATGAATGCTAATTAACTATTACTGGAACTCTGGAAGAATGTTTTATGATTACAAAATAATTGAACCTTATCGGTATCTACCTAGCAGGATTGTAACACGTGCATGCGCACAAACACACGCAACACACGCACCTGCATGTGCACCTTCCCGCCCTCTTACCCGTCCGACCACTCTATATATGTATGTCTGTGTGTAGTTGCATGTATGCATGTATGCATTTTTGGATGTCTATATATATGAGTGTATGACTATGTATGTGTGTGGGTATTTGTTTGTTTGTGGAGGGAGAAAGCAACAAATCTTATTTTTCAAAATGGCAGCAGCCCCCAATTTCAATATCAGAATTAATTGATAGGATGACTTGGGAAAATAAGGAGCACTTCTAACACCTACTGAAAAAACAAGTAGTTTTTGGATTTAATTATATACAATTAGATTTTGGATATAATAATATACGAGTTAAAAAAAATTGGAGCTATAATGGTCTTTTGACTGATATATATTGTTAGTTTTGTGTGGATGCTTAAGAGAGTTCATAGTTTATTGAAGGATTGTTACTTATTATTGATTTGTTCATTTTGTAATGTTATAGAAACAAGTGCGAAGCAGGTTGTCCTCATATTGTTTGAAGGGTGTACCATTAGTCTAAGCAACTTAATTGATTTTTCTAGCAACCGACAACATGATTGGGGATGCATATTGATACGACAGGAGAAGATGAGCAAAGAGCCTGGTGGTCCAACCCAGCCAACCAACTAGCCTTTGGGCTGGGCGGAACTCTCAGTAGAAACAAGGGGGATTTTGGCCTCCCGTTGTGGGGCCCAACAAAGCTATAGATCATTATGAAAGGAGGAATTAAGGGGAAGTTATTTAGGGAAGTTTTAATTAGAAGTGAAAGAAAGAATTCTAATTTTGAATAGAAATTGGAGAAGGGAAATTAATTAAGGCAAAAAGGGAAGTAATTGTTGTTTTAATTCCACTTTGAATTCAAAATAGGAGAGGGAATTAATTAAGGCAGTAAAGCTGTTTGTGAGGGAATTAGGAAGAGCTTATTTAAGGCTAGTTATTTTGTTGAAGGGTTATGTGTGTTTTGTTTGTTTGCTGTAGTTTTCTTTTTGAGAACTTCCTAGCGACGTTTAGGTTGATTGGGAGAGCTGATCTACCTCTCGAATTAGATCATTTGTATCTTTCATTATTGTTGAATTATTAATAAAAAAACCAGTCTCTATATTTTGTTCCTGCACTTCTTCTTATTTATTGTGCTATTTTCACTTCCAAATCATATCACATATTTAGTTGTGTGCATAACTTTGTAGTTGTTCAACGACTAATAGAGTATGAATTTCATTTGTGGACTCGTAATTTTAATATTTGGAACCTAAGAATCAAGGCCCGTATAATGACATTTTAGGCCTCAGTCGAATGCTTGGTCAAAAGATGATTATAGAGGATGGGTAGGAAAAAAAGATAGAATAAACTTTGGCTATGCTATCTTTAGTTAATTAGTTTTTATCAATAAAAACTTTTGTAGAAGTCACATTTGTATGTAGTTTAACATTTTAATCAAGTAAAGGTCTATTAGTCAAAATAAAGCTTTCAATGGTTTTTTTAATCTATTTTATTTGACTGTATGATTAGGCTAGCCTTAGTGTCATATTTTGCAACTGTACATTTTTAATATTTGCTTAATCGTTCATGAAAGCATATTGCTAGAATGATACATTGTATGTTAGGATTTCTTGAAACAAGGTCTTTGAAAATATGACTTCTTTTGCATCTTATACTCGATTGCTTTCCTATTACTTAATTTAATTATAATTCCATTTTCTTGGATTATCTGATCATTGTTAATGCTACATGAGGTGCTTGTTTCATGCCTTTCATTTGTGGTTCTCGTTAAGTTTTGCAACTTAAGTATGCATGGCAATTTAGTTTTTTTTTTCATTGTTGGAGTGATGAGGGCATCAAGACATGGAAAGTTTATCAGAGGTTTGGCCGTCGATCTATGACCACGATTGCACCTCTTTACTTTTAAATTTTATATTTATTATGGATATATTAGTTTTGTTTATGAGGTTTTATTATGCTTTTGCACTTTTGCCCTTAAGGGTTTAGGCATGTGTAAGCCCTAGGGGCATAGTAATACTTTGTATTTTCTCATTGTATGGGCTATTTAAAGCCTCCCCCTCCTTTGAGGGTTAATGAATGATAATAAAATATATTCCTGCAACTCTTTGTTTTGAGAGCTTGAGAGCTTTGGAGAGAGCCCTTGGAAAGGGAACCAGATCACCTACCAATCTTGGAAGCGTCCAGATTCGTGGCTTTCATTGTCTTTCTTCCTTTTCGTTTCGTTTCTCCCTTTCCCTCATCCTAGCTGTCGGCCTAGGGTTTCCTAACCCCTTAACAGCCGGCCCTTCGTAGCAAATGCCCCCCCCTGTCGCCGGCCAACTCCACCCCACCAACCCACCTCCCCTTCACACCCAACCGGCCTTCCCTCTCCCACCACCAAACCTTCAAACCCACAAACCCTAGCCCTAGCCGCCAGCCACCCCCTCTCCCTCTTTGCCTCCAAAATTCAAATTCCCCCATTACTCCTTTCCTTTTCCCTGCAAACTACTTTGGGAAAGCTTTCAATCCAATCAACCAATTAAAATTTGAAATTCAAATTATTTCCTAAAATAGAGTTCTATTTTAGGAAACTTCTCCAATCAAACTCTATTTTAGGAAACTTCTCCAATCAAATCCAAATCAAATTTGAATTGGATTGGAATTAATTTCCCCTCCTTAATTTGGAGTTCCCAAAGAGGCAAGCACTAAGGACCTTCCCCCAATCCCCTCCCCTCCTCTTGAAGCCGCCGACGCCCTTTCTCTAGCCGCCCCTCCTCTCACTCCAATCCCCTTGAATTGTTTCCCAAGGAGAAACCCTAGTTCTTGGAAACTTTCAATCCCTTCTTCCTCCCACTACGAGTAACTTAGGGATTCAACTTTGAATCTCCATTCACCCCTCCTTACCTCTCCTCTTTTCCTTCAATTTGTTTGAGGGAACCCTTCTCTAGCAAAACAACTTCTCAAGGGCAGCAAAGAATCATCTCTTTGAGTTCTTCTCCTCATGAAGGGCTGATCCGGAGCGTGACCATGGCTTCATCTACAACCCCCAAGTACAAGTGGACATTCTCCAATCTTCATTCTTCGACGTCACTCTGGGGGTTGACTAAACCGTGGAGGAATACGTGGAAAGGATCATCCACACCCTAGCCGCCGCCATCGACGAATAGATTGCTTCCGTTCAGTGGAAGATTACTTCTAATCCTTGATAAGGGTAAGTCAAACCTTCTAATCCGTACCTTTATAGTCTACTTTTCGATTGTAAGAATATTTGGAATATTTGGATTCATGAAAACCATGCTAATAGTTCTTCGCTAAAGCTTAGTGTTTAGTAGAATTGTGTGAGGGATCTTTCATAGCACTGCTCTTATTGTTAAATTAGGGATTTCTTATTGAAACCTATCTTGTATGCAACGTTAAGAGTAATTGGTTGTTTTGTGGCTTTTACTTTTTGCAAGTAGCTTGGTCTAGTGTTTACCGTTCTTTGTGTTTTAATTCATTTTTTGAATCACCATCAAATTTTAATTAATTTGTTCTTAATCATTAAGCGTGCAAAATCCTTATCAAGATCATAATTTCATATATGTCCTGCATCATGGAAATATTATTTCATGTGATTTATTTAGTCTGACTTGTATTGTCTAATAGGTCAAGCATAGTCGTTCATCTCATATGTCAAATACCGATGTACTTGGTTTAAATATGATAATTTCTTCCTAATTCAGTTCAATAACTCGGAACTCCTTTTTATATTTAGCACACAATTATGGTGCTTGATTTTTCTTCTATAGAAGGCTTTCTCGTTTAATATAATCTTTGCCTAAACTTATTACGTATTCTATATCATCTATGATGCAGGTACTTCTCCTTCTGGATGTAATTCTTGTCATGTCAGAGATCTCATATCCAGTTTTTGTAATTGTTAGGTAAGGTTTCGTTGTTGCATCAGTTATTGATTTCAAATCTGGTTGGCAAGTGAAGCATTTCTGGGTTCCAATGATTACATGCCATGCTTATATATTTTTGTTCTTTAATTAATTCATAATCACACTTGAGCCTCGACTATTACATGGTATAAGCCATGTTGATCTTTGTTTTTCTACTCAAACTTTAGTTTGATATCTACAGTTTAAATATACTGTTTAATTCTTTGAAGCTTCAGTTTGCTTCATGGAAATGGCGTTGGCTTTGTTTAAATATATATTATGAAGTGGGTAGTTACATTTGCAGTCTGCTCTAACTATTTTACATTGCTTGTTTTTCAGAGATTTAAAACCTTCTGCTCTCTGTGTAGGTGAAGGACATTATCGCTAAGCCCTTGTCAGATGGTGTTCTATTACTGATTAACTTTAACTTAAAAGGCGAAAATATAATTTTATTCTTGAAATACCATCTAAAGAAAAAAAAGAAGGGTCTCAATCTTAATTGTGATTTTATATAATTGAATTAGATCAACCCTCTTAATTTTGAAAGAAAATGTCTTCTTTGAGATCATCATGCTTTTCCCTTTTGGATAATAAACCCTTCCCTTGTTTTGGAGTCTAAGGAAAGATGGGGTTGTTTAATATCACGAGTCTATTGTTCATTTAGCTTGATTGTGGCGCTTGTGGTTGACAGTCTCAAAAAGTGGACATCCAACCTGACTGTTTCTTTAGACATTTATTCACGTTCCTTAATGTCTCTTTACAGTCACGTATCAAGTATATAAGAATTCAGAGATGAAGTGTCGCTTTTGCTTGGAATTTTATATGACAAATTGTAGTAACCCATGCATATTTTATTAAAGATATACCATGATATTTTTGAAGTCTACAATCATTTGGTGCCCTTAGCTTGAGCCAAGTTCAACACTTGCAGTATACTGATACAACTAATATTCTCAGATTATGCTTTGCTGTTTCTCCTAGCGAACTTAAATAGCCTAAAATGCTTGTTATCCATCATTAGTTCTATAATACCTTAGGAATGTGTTAGACTGGTCCACTGGACCGGTCCAGCCGGTCCAGGCGGGACCGGTTCGGGGGCGAAATCGCGAAATAGGCGGAGACTCCGCCAGAACAAGCGGCCCGACCACTCATATAGAGCGTTTTAGGAAGGATTTTTGGGGGGTTTCAGAGAGAAATTTGAATGTAGGGGCTGTTTAGGGATTTCCTTTTGATTTGTATGCATTAAATAGTTGTTTTTCCTAGAGTTTGGGCATCTTGAATTTGGATGAAATTTGAGATCTCATAGAGTTAGGTTTTCTTTGGGCTCGGCGTCTAGAGATTTGGGAGAGATCGATCCTCCTCTCGAATTGAGGATCAATTGTATCTTGCTATTTTATTCATCTTCTAGTGAAATACAAGCTTTTTTTTTGAGTTTTCTCTCAGGTTTCCTTGTGGTGTTGGTGTTTTTCTGCTGTAAACAGCAGATTTATGCTGTTTTCCTGCTGTGGACAGCAGTTTTGCTGTTGAATGTTCGCCGATTTTGGTTAAGTTACTTACGAACGCAAGTGTTTCCTATCAAATTGGTATCAGAGCATCGTTTTTGGGACCTTAGGCGGCTGAAATCTGATTTTTCAGCGAGCTTTTTGCTTTCCGAAGTGAATATTTTTGAAGATGCCGATTGGGAGAAAAGATGGCCGAAAAGAAGGTTTGACATCTTGAAGGCGAAGTCGGCCAATTGAAAGTCGATTTTGGAGGACAAGATTCTTCAAACCCTTCAAAATCAAAATTCAACCTCCAACAATGAAAGGTTGGAGGGAGGTTCACGCAATGAAGGAAAGTTGAAGAAACTACTTGAGATAAACAATCCGGCACACGGAAGTAAGAGAGATGCACCGACGCCATGGCATTGGGAGGAAATCGCGAACCCTTCGGGGGAAGGAGAAATGTGGAGGTGGAGATCCTAGAGGAAGAAGAAACGACATGCCTCCTCTAGACCCCTTTCGAGGGAAGAGATTGAGCATGGGATTATACGGAAGGGGGGACTGATTTTGGTGGGAGGAGACAGAGGGATTCATTCGCCGAGGGTGCTGCAATTTGAAAGAATTCAGCGTCGAGGGGCGGATTTTGAAGGAAGAAGGGAGGAACGTCATCGTCGAGGTGCTGAATTTGAATGTATCACGTCGAGGTGATGTGTTGAAGGGAGAGAGGTGAGTATGAAGAGGGAGTTAGAGTAATATTCATCGGAGGGATGATTGGGACAATTTGGGGAACGCTATGGAGGATACCGGGGAGATGCCCAAGGTGAGGAATTGGAAAGGGATGCCGTTTTCGAGGGGAAGACGGCCATGGCTGGATCTACAAGGTGGAGCGTTACTTTTGCGGTCAATGGGTTGACAGAGGATGAGAAGCTGACGGGGCAGGATTGTGTCTGAAGGAAAGGCTTTGGCATGGTATCAGTTGCCGTGATAGAACAGGAGGGAGCCTATCAGGAACTGGAGGGAATTCAAAAACTGCATAATAGAACGTTTCCAAACCGACCGGGGAGGAGATTTCTATGAGGCAGTTCTTTGCTCTGGTGCAGGAGGGATAGTAGAAGACTACCGTGATCGTTTCAAGCACCTGGCTAGTAGGGTGGAGCGATTATCAGATAGTGTATTGGAGGGGAATTTCATAAAGGGGTTGAAGGCAGAGATCCGAGCGGCAGTTAAAGTTTGATGCCTAGTGACTTGGAGGAGGCGATGAAGTTGGCACAACTGGTAGAAAATCAGAATAACCTGGAGAAGGGAGCTAGGAGCAACAACTCAGGAGGCTCTTACAAGACTACGACCACTCTTTTAGCACAAAGGGGCCTGCATCAGTCAACAATAATGAGATCACCAGGGAGAAGCCAATAGGAGGAGGGAGTGGGGATAACTTCAAGAAGCTCACTGAGACAGAATTACAGGAGAAGAGGGCAAAAGGCTTTTTTTCAGATGTGACGAGAGGTATACGCTGGGGCACAGGTGTAAGGACGCGAACTCTTCAAGTTCTTACTGTTTGTGATGAAGAAGGAATGAAGGGTGTCGTCTTTCCACTTGCGGACAAAGGTGGATCTTTGGGAGGGAGTATTGTTAGACCGGTCCACTGAACCGGTCCAGCGGTCCAGGCGGGACCGGTTCACGGGCCAAAATCGCAAAATTAGGCGGAGATCTCCGCCTCCTGCGGAGATCGAGCGGCCCGACCAGCCCATTAGAGCATTTTAGGAAGCGTTTTTTAGCGTTTTGAGAGGGAAATTTGAATGTAGGGGCTGTTTAGGGATTTCCTTTTGATTTGTATGCATTAAATAGTTGTTTTTCCTAGAGTTTGGGCATCTTGAATTTGGCTGAAATTTGAGATCTCATAGAGTTAGGTTTTCTTTGGGCTCTAGCGGCGTCTAGAGATTTGGGAGAGATCGATCCTCCTCTCGAATTGAGGATCAATTGTATCTTGCTATTTTATTCATCTTCTAGTGAAATACAAGCTTTTTTTTGAGTTTTCTCTCAGATTTCCTTGTGGTGTTAGTGTTTTTCTGCTGTAAACAGTAGATTTATGCTGTTTTCCTGCTGTGGACAGCAGTTTTGCTGTTGAATGTTCGCCGATTTTGGTTAGGTTACTTGCGAACGCAAGTGTTTCCTATCAGAATGCCATCAAGAGGTTGTGGCCTTCAATTTCTCAATAGTGCTTTAAATTTCTTATGCATCAATTGGGACGTGTTTGAAAGCATTGGAATGACGTGTGTGGGTCTCCGAAAGGGTGCTACGAGCGAGGATCAGAATGTAATGAGTACGATCGCACTATCTCGTAGGACAAACAGTCGTAGACCTTTATGCTTTATATGAGCAGGATAATGAGAGAGCAGATGGAATCATACATACGATTAACCATGGAGGATAGTGACTTTCAGCTACACACCTGGATGTGTAATAATATATATGACCCAAAAATTACGAGATTTCCCTCATTCGATACATTAGCTCAAATAATGTTTATTTGATATGGGTATCAGTTTCTCATAGGCGCAAGCCCCTTTGTTTAATTACATCTTAAGCCTCATCCTAAGTAAGCTCTTGATTTTGGACGCCATATTATTCTCTTCAGGGGTTTGGCGCATAAGGGAATATCTAAGCTTCTCCTAATCCAAAGGAAGATAGGCTTAATTGAGCTAATCAACATATAAGGATCATATAATCACTCGACTGGTCCAAAGAGGAGAAATCTGGAGAGGAAACATCACACACCAAGCATGCATGGGAGAAAGATGGAAGCGACGTCATCAGTGTGATGCAGATGGGTGAGATTTAGAGCTTTATGAGAGTGGAGAGCTTACCCACCGATAAGACATGCAGCGGTACATCGATACCGCCTGCATTTGATCATAGATCTACAAAGGTCGTATTATACACAAGTACTAACGTCCATGACCTAACTAGCGCAAGACACCACGAGGGGACTTATAACTTAAACCCCACTAAGGATCTAACCAGCTCCGACTTGGATTTATCACCCTAGTCGGAAAGAGGTACCAGCTAAACTCCAGCTAGCGTATTAAATCCATGTAGTCCGATCTTATGTAAAAGCAATTGGGATGCATATAAAAGGAAATGGGCATTAGGCCCGACCATTAATGGTACTATGTTTTATGCAAGATGAACTATTCCTCTATGTTGCAAAAAAAAAACTATATGCTTAGACTCAAGGCTATGGATGTATAGGTATGACCAATCAGGACCCCACTAAGGATCTAACCATCTCCGACTTGGATTTATCACCCTACTCGGAAAGGGGTACCCGCTAAACTCCACATAGCGTATTAAATCTATGCAGTCCGGTCTTATGTAAAAGCAAGAGTGGTAGGAGGCATATAAAAGGAAATGGGCATTAGGCCCGACCATTAATGGTACTATGTTTTATGCAAGATGAACTATTCCTCTATGTTGTAAAAAAAATCTATATGCTTGGACTCAAGGCTATGGATGTATAGGTATGACCAATCAGGATTGACCAGTAGTCACTATAAAGTGAATAAGGTTTATAACATTAATCATCATTTTAAAAAGTAACCCACAAAAAGGTTATGCATTAAATTTTTTTTTGAAAAATTGGTTAATTTTAATTCCTATGTTTATTTTCATCTTGTTTAAATAAATTTTAATTTTGTAGAAAATTTAACATCCTAAAGAGGCTAACGCAAGGGCTTCGTCCGAGCCAACCTCAAGCAAAACAAAGTAAGAAACTTAGAAAAAAACATGCAATTCTAATGCGTAATCAAAGTAAACAAATTAATCTTCACATCATAAATAATAAATAAAGGCCATGAATGCAACTGAACTCTGTAATACTCCCCAGAAAAATAAAAAAAAGGTAGTTGAACTCTACCATATATTTACAAGTCAGCCTAAATCTATACATAAATGGATTGGTGTGTGGGTCCTTGATCAGTCTTCACAATTTGGCCTCTTGCTTGCTGAAAATCCCTCACACTTATAAAACTTTCCTGACTAAAAATTATATTTTAAAAAATATAAAATTACATAAGCACCCTATAAAAAATATTGTCAACACAATTATAGTTAAAATCACATAATAAACATCCAAAATTAGTCGTTAGGATCACATTTCTAAGGGTAGCATTCCTCGTAGTAACTGTTAATGAGCACATTTATAATAATTATGACAATTTTTTTTTATTTACCCTTTAGGAATGTGGTCACCTACAGAACATATTTTTATAAATCATTCTAACCACTTAAGGACAAGTGCCCACTCATCAATCATAAAACAAAAAAAGGGCAATCATAAAACGGTCCAAACCAGAAAAGACATTATCAGAAGTTCAAAATGAAAAAGAAAGAAATTGTAAAATGTTATCCTAGCTACGCCCTACCTTAGAATGCCTATGAAAAAGTGCCATATCTAGCACCTAAGTGTGTATGCAAAAATCAATATACTTAACTAACCCAAATTAGGTAAGAGGTTCAAGTTCCAAAGTCAAATTCTTATTGTTTAATTTATTATCTCTCAAAATTTTCTTTAAATGCTTAGTCATTTAAGATGAATTAATTAACACTTAGTTTTAGGATTAAATTTAAATTATTACGTTGTTAAGAACCCAAAGGTATGGGCCATAAACTATACTAAGGTTATAAAGAATTGAGGGACAAATGACCCATCCTTAATCCTACACCTAATCAAGGATGAAAATGTTATAAGGCGGCAAGGGTCGGTTAATCCTTCCTCGAGGTAATGCTGAAAGGTGACATATTAAGTGGATCTATCATCCACAATAAATAAAAATCTAGGATTCTTATGTTTAGGGTAGATTTATTTTAAAAATTGACATGAGAATAGAAAGACTCACTATCTATAGATATGTATAGGTTCTACCTGACTTAAGGTTTAATATTTGGGTGGTTAGGAAATTGGTTTAGGCTCCTATGGGTGGTTTAAAATTTTTAAAGGGGGACAATTTATATAGATCTTTATACTTTTCTTCTTAACTTGTGAGATACGTGGTGTTGTCGCAGTGAGCTCGAGGAACCAGGCCTCCTTAGGACACTTAGCCCTGTAACTCAAGGTAGTCCAACCTATATACCTTTCATGTACAAAGATAAACATAAATCCGACATATGAGAGGCACTAAGGTATAGTTTAAAGTTCATTTGCTCCTCCAATTATAAAGTACTATAATAAGCTCAAATAATAAATCAGACACACTAATCATTAAGGGAACATACAACATAAAGCTAAAATACGAGATAACCTAGCATGTTAGAGCTCAATTTTTATTTTAATTTTCATATTCTTGATTATTTAATGGACAATATCATTTAAGGCTCAACAAATCATTAAAGAAAATAATTTTTAGAGTTATTTAAATGTTTTAAAATCCCAAAGAAAACTGACATAACAATGCCCAGTTTGTGTGAAAAAAAAATGATACACATGATACAAGTAGGTGGCTTACACTACATACCTAAAATGACCCTAAGGGTCTCTAGATTTCATAAGGGGTGGGTGGGTGGTGCTTTGGTTGTTGAAAGTTATCTTTCTTAAGCTAATTGATTTCTCTAATCCCTTTTGTTCTCTAAGTTGAGTCTTAGTTTATAAAAGTAAGAGTTGTTTCTCTTGTCGGATTTCTCTTTGTGCTTTGCTCCATATTGTTTGCATCAATGTGTTACCGTGTTTTCTATTTGGTATACATTGAGAGGCCTCTACATGACTATCAAGTTATACTTGGCCATGGCGTGCCCACTCAAGAGGTCCCATACAAACGATCCACTGACCAATGCATATGCAGGACATATTATACCTTGTAAGCAATAGATAGAGCTAACATATGGTGAGAGTAGGCACCATTTAGAAAGAAATGTAATTAGATAAAAATTAATCTAAAACAATTAAAATCTACAACTTTAAAATTCATCTTAAATATATGAAAGAATACATAAAAGAAAAGAGTATGTGTAAGCAAAAGAAATAAATAAGCAAGTGCAAATAGCCATCGAGACAGAGACATGCATAGTGCAATTTTGAGTTAAATATGAATGCGACGATCATATGTCTTTGACTTGAACCTATGCATGCTTGTAATAAAAATACGCACAAGATACACATAAAATATGCACAAAATACGCACAAGATACACACAAAATACGCACAAAATACGCACAAAAGACGCACAAAATATGCTCAAAATACGCACAAAATATTCACACGCATGAAATACTCGCAAGATACTCACAAAATACTCACACGCACGAAATACTCACAAGATATGCACAAAATAGGCACAAAATAATCACACGCACGAAATACTCACAAGACACAAAATTCCCACAAAATACGCAGTCAATCCAGACGGTTCTCGCTGTCCTGACTCCGCACGTAATGATTTCTCGTAAGTACCAAGGTATTTTGAATGGGGCATAATAGCAAATAGAGAAATACATGTACATATGGAAGGAGAAGACAGGATTAGGTGAAGGAAGACGGGTTGCTAATGAAAACTTGCGATCGACGGATGAACATCTTCAAAATAGTGGCAAGGTCCACGGCCAAACTCACAACGGCAGATGGAGGGCTATTTTAGAGGAACTGTGAGAGACGGAAGGAGATAGTAAGTCGAGAGCGTCGAATCAACTCAATGCCAAAGTTGTCTGCTTGAGCGATGTCTAAAACCCGTGAGAACTAAAGTGACCACTTGCTGCTATCTTCTACAGCAACAAAAATAAGATTTTTTGCGTGCGATCTCTGCTATTGACATCGAGACCAGAGAAAAAAAAAGGTGCGGTAATGATTAAAATGAGAGTGATCTCAGCCGTTGATTTCAAGAGGCTAAATGGAAGCTAATTTGAGCCTGAACCAGACTTCAATTGAGTCGATTTGAGTTCAATTATTTATTTATTTTTTGATTAAATTTTTTTGACGAAATTGGGCCCAAATCGTCGCAAATTTGAGCCAAATTAAGCTCGGCGAGGCTCCATCAAGTCTCTCGAGGATGATCGAGGGAAAATCATGATAGAAATGAGGTCAACAATGTGTACTGTGTTGTTTGTGTTTGGCGGCATTGTGTAGAAACAAGCTAAATTTGTTGCTCGGTTACATAGGGAGAACACTTGGTTACCATTCTTTATCTTCATTTTGTTTGTTTCAGTAGTCTAGATATATGGCGTGTTATTGTTTAGATTATCTTCTGATTAGAATGACATTCAATTCCTTTTAAATTTACTGTTTACTCTCTCAATTATCAATTCAAAGGTTTAGGTTGTATGTATCATTTTTTTTTCATGTGAAATTTTGTATGTGCTTATTCATCTTTTAGCTTTACCAGCTTAAACATAATTCTTTTTTTGTGGCAGGTGTGATTCAGCTGTTTTATCTGGTCTTGCTTTAATGCTCTTTGCAAGCATTATTTGGTTAAAGCTTATTTCATATATGCACACAAATTATGATTTAAGGACTTTGCGCCACCATATTGCTAAGGTGCAAATACGCTTAATCTTCAGCTGCCAGCTTGTTAGTTCACTTGCTTAATTTCAGACATGTTTCACTGCAAAATATTTAATTTCTGAACCCAAATGCCTGCTGATCATGTGCTGTTACATGGTGTATTTTTTGGGATTTATTTGATTGGACATACATGAAGGAATTGCCAAACAGAGAGAAGGCACTAATGATGAAAATTTTAATTTTCATCATTAGTGCCTTGTCATATATATATATATATAGCTAAGAAAACATAAAATAAGGAAACTATTGAACCAGAATATTACAGCATTCCATGAATTTATATTGGCAGTAGTATGTATTAATTACATGAAAAAGTATGTAGCAACTTGAGAGAGATTATTATTCAACACTACTATTTTGATGACTAAAATTATGTTTGGGTGATGATGAGTTGGCTAATATGCTTTCATAAGATAATGGCTTTATCAAAGCTGTCTTTCTTTAATACCTTTGCAAGATGGTGGTTTCACGAGATTGACACGAAAACACGATTTTGACCCGGCAACCCGAGATTGACACGATTTGACCCATTTTTTATCCGAAAATAGGAGATTGACCCGTTTTTGACCTGAAAATTAGCAATTTTTTAGTTGGAAATGGGTCATTCGGGTCGTGTCGGGTTGACACGGACTCGAAGCGGGTCGGGTTCGGGTCCGGAAAATCGACCCGTTTTAAAAAACGGCTCGGGTTCAGGTTGACTCGAATAGTGCCGGGTCAGTTTCGGGTTCGACCCGAACCCGAACCATGACCCGAAATTGACACCCCTAATTCAGATGAATGAGAGAAGTATTTTAGGGTTCCAGCGATCTTGTGATAGTTTGTTGGATTAATGGTTGGGGTGCAATCATGGAGTTTGAGAGTGCCTGAAGTTAAGAGTGGAAGGGTTACTGATTTCACTACATTCATACTTGTGCGCTCAAGGAGATGTTGAATATATTTTTGTGTGAGAAACATACCACTTTTGGTAGGGATGACTTCAAGTCTAAATCTTAATGAACAAAGCCTAGGTCCTTAACAAAAAATTGAGTTGAGAGATTGTTGATGAATGACTTTGTGAAGTGGAAGTGTTGCTAATGATAATCAGATCATCAAAATAGACTAATCGACAAATTTGTACTGAATTCTTATTCTAGGTAAATATGGAGGAATCCGATTTAGAGTTGATAAATCCATGGTCAAGAAGAAAGCTACTATGGGGTTGAGCCATTAAAACTTCCTCAGCAAGTGTGCTTGAAGGAAGGCATTGTTGACGTTGAAATGCTGAATTGGCCAATCCTAAAATAAAGCAATGCAAAGGACCAATTTTATAGTAATAGGTTTTACAATTGGATATAATGTTTTAGTTTAATCAAGGCTTGGTAAATGAAAGCTTTTGTTGCACGACTTATAGCAGTGAATACTACCATCAGAATTTATTGATAGGAAACGCCTATTTGTAGCTTACTATAGATGAAATTAGTTCTCAAGTACCATTGTGAACTAAGGCACTGTGCTCTTCACTCATGGCCTTGTGCCTTTTGGGATTTATTAGAGCGTAAGTTACATTTGATCCCTTAATGGTTAGGGAAGGGGTTGTTTGATAATTAGGAGCAGTAATGGAGTTTTATCGGACAGAGTGCTGTGAGATAATCCAACACAGTGGGCTGTTAGGTGTTGTATGCAACAACTGTACCTGATGTGAAAACGATAGGGATGTGCATTGGTGAAATATTTATGGAGAGATAGAAGGCGAGATCCTACTGTTAAAAGCATGATAAAGTAACCTAGGATGTAGAAGATAGTTTTGCAAATGGATTGGAATTTTCATGGAACTGAGCATGTTGTGACACAAGGAGTCAATTGATGGAAGGATCGCTTCATTTCTAGGTAGTTTGCAAGAAGAACCCAATAAACACATGGGGATCACGATATCTTTGCACACACACTTTCGATTCACCCTTTTAGAGTTGGGGGATGCACTGACGTGCCGCAGGCACATTTGGTTGGGCTTTCATTTCAAAATTCGGCCATATCAGCTAGGTATAACATAGACCACCAAAGGTTCTTGGTTTTTGATAGGCAAGCAACATTTCAAATGATGTTTTGCAGTTGAGTAGTGACGTCTATAGTTTGTTGATGAGGTAAGTTGCAATTTAGAAAGGATGACTCCAAAAGGGATGGGGTAATGAGGCTTGGTGAAGAAAATAGATCTGTTTGGATGATAAGACAATGATGACATTTTGCTGCTTTGTTATTTTGTGGTGTGTGCGGATGTGGGGTTCGAAAATTTGCACCCTAGCATCTTCGTGACCCCTTTCTTTTTTATTGGCAGCGATGAGAGTTTTAATGAGTTTAGGTACCAGGATAAATTTTTAGAAGGCAAATTGAGTTTTTAGATACAACATTACTCAGAGATTTCGCTCTTATTTTGTGAGGGATTTATGATCTGAGTTCTGATTTCCTATAGACACAAGCACCTATAGTTAATTACCCTTTTCGATAATGAGAGAGCCTTTTCGATTAAGGCTAGTTGTTAAACATATACGTAGTATCTAGCGTATAGTAGCAACAATATTAGATATTGAAAATTGAAAATTTATCACCGCACACTTAAAGCAGATGGTGGGGTGATGTAGAACAGATATGGGGGGAGGGGGTCATTTGAAATTTGAATTTTAAACTAAATGGAAAAGGGAGGGAAGAGGTACTTAATTAATTCCTTAAATAGAGTTCCATTTTTTTTGGAAGGAATTAATTAAAATATGAGAGAAATTGGGGACCTTAATTGAGAAGCATTAATCAAGTAGAGAGAGGATATTGGAGAGAGGGGGTGGCGGGTAGAGAGAGAAGAGAGTTTAGGGAAAGAGAATTAAAGTGAGCCTTGATTGGAAACCGAAATTGAGGAAGATTAATTGAAATCAAATCCAATCAAAAATTTTATTGGACCTAATTTAAACAACTTTCCTAATTTAATTAATTTAAATCAAATCCAAATTTAGGAAACAAATTCAAATTCAAATTAATTTGAATTTTGAATTAAAATTCGTTATCAAATTAAGATGTATAAAATAGGAAGGCTTTTAATACAAGATGAAATTATGAGATGCTTCCTAGTTAAGGATTATTAAAGAGGAAAGTATTTGAAATTCAAAAGGAGAATTGATTTCAAATAAAGACACTTTCCAAATTGATATGAGCTATTTTAAGAAGGTAATTAAGGGAGGTTTGAATTTTGAAATTCAAAATTCATGGAGGGAATTTGGAGAGGGGAGGAAGATGACCTAGGCTTAGGAGGGGGATGGGAAATTTCGGTGGGGAAGAAAAGAGGGTTGTGGGAAGAAGCCGGCGAGTTTGGGTGGAGGGGATGAAGCCGGCGGGATTTATGGAGGATGGAGATGATGATTAGAAAAAAACAACAACAACAACAACAACAACAACAACATCAAGCCTTTATCCCACTACGTGGGGTCGGCTACATGAATCCTTTTTCTCCATTGTGTTCTATTAAAAGTCAAACTCTCATTTAAACTATGATTAGAAAAAAAAAGAATAAATAAAAAAATCGCGAGTCTTGGACTTTTCCAAAGACTAACGGGTATTGCGTTGCCCTTCACCAAAAGACTTCAACCACGAGTCCGGACACATCCTACAGCTGGTGGGTATTTCATTACCCTCACATAGGGACTTCCACTCTCCTAAGAACTCCCATCGCTCTCAAGAACAAAGTGTAGGAATAATTTTTTTATTAATCTATCATTGTCTAATACAAGAGCAAGGGCCTCTATATATAGGCTTTATAAAAAAATAAAAGACAACTTTGCCCCTTGGGCTTACATAGGAGAAGACCCTTAAGTAAGGATAAAAATGGAAAGTGCATAATTTAAATAAAAATTACAATTAATAAACTAAGATAAAATGGAGGGATCTCGGCTGTCGATCTTCGTCTCTTCCTTTGATTAACGTCTACCATCGGATGTCCGCATCATTCTCCTAGGGTGGAAAAGAGCTCGACTCCATTGAGTTCGCACCCCGGGTAACCATGCTCTGATACCAAACTGATGTAGAACAGATATGGGGGGAGGGTGTCATTTGAAATTTGAATTTTAAACTAAATGAAAAAGGGAGGGAAGAGGTACTTAATTAATTCCTTAAATAGAGTTCTGTTTTTTTTGGAAGGAATTAATTAAAATATGAGAGAAATTGGGGACCTTAATGGAGAAGCATTAATCAAGTAGAGAGAGGATATAGGAGAGAGGGGGTGGCGGGTAGAGAGAGAAGAGAGTTTAGGGAAAGAGAATTAAAGTGAGCCTTGATTGGAAACCGAAATTGTGGAAGATTAATTGAAATCAAATCCAATCAAAAATTTTATTGGACCTAATTTAAACAACTTTCCTAATTTAATTAATTTAAATCAAATCCAACTTTAGGAAACAAATTCAAATTCAAATTAATTTGAATTTTGAATTAAAATTCGTTACCAAATTAAGATTTATAAAATAGGAAGGCTTTGAATACAAGATGAAATTATGAGAGGCTTCCTAGTTAAGGATTATCAAAGAGGAAAGTATTTGAAATTCAAAAGGAGAATTGATTTCAAATAAAGACACTTTCCAAATTGATATGAGCCATTTTAAGAAGGTAATTAAGGGATGTTTGAATTTTGAAATTCAAAATTCATGGAGGGAATTTGGAGAGGGGAGGAAGATGACCGGTTAGGCTTAGGAGGGGGATGGGAAATTTCGGTGGGGAAGAAAAGAGGGTTGTGGGAAGAAGCCGGCGAGTTTAGGTGGAGGGGATGAAGCCGGCGGGATTGGAGAGAGGATGGAGATGATGATTAGACAAAAAAAAAAGAAAAAAAAAAGTCTCGGACTTTTCTAAAGACTGACGGGTATTGCGTTGCCCTTCCGGACACATCCTGCAGCTGGTGGGTATTTCATTACCCTCACATAGGGACTTCCACTCTCCTAAGAACTCCCATCGCTCTCAAGAACAAAGTGTAGGAACAATTTTTTTATTAATCTATCATTGTCTAATATAAGAGCAAGGGCCTTTATATATAG